TACTCCGGGTAGGTTGAGAATAATTGATGCATCTTAAATGGCCGCTTGAAGCTTTTAAGAACCCAGACGCCACTCACCAAAGTAGGATGCAGAACATTTTCTTAATAAACTTTGTTATGCCAATTGACCTAGATGTCCCTTGAAAGCATGGTTAAAACTATAAAATTCTTAGAAGAAAATGCAGGGGCAAGGCTGTCAGGCCTAGCTTTCAACAATGGATTATCTAATACAATAACAAAAGCACAAACAGCAAAAGACAAAATAAATAAATGCGGCTTCATAAATATTAAAAAACTGGTTCATCAAAACACTTTAACAACAAAAAAAGAAAGAAAAGACAAGCTACCAACTTGAAGAATATCTTTGGAAAACAAATATCCAACAAGAATCTAATAACCAAAATATATATAAAACTTTGACAACTTAACAACTAAAAGACAAGAAACCCAATCATAAAATGGGCAAAGGATTTGAGTAGACATTTTACCAAAGAGGGCATTCGAATGGCCACCAAACATATGAAAATATGCTCAGCGTCATTAGCTATCAAACCAAAACCAAACTTGTTGCCTTCGAGTCAATTCCAACTCATAGCAACTCTATAGAACAGAGTAGAACTGCCCCATAGGGTTTCCAAGCAGTAGCTGGTGGATTAGAACTGCCGACCTTTTGTTAGCAGCTGATCTCTTAACTACTGTGCCACCAGGGCTCCCATTAGCATTATAGAGATGCAAATGAAAACCACAATGAAATAACATTTCACTCCCACTAGGATTGGCTAAGATAAAAAAATAACAGAAAATAACTGAGGATGTGGGGAAACTGGAACTCATCTATTGCTGGTGGGAATGCAAATGGTACAGCCATTGTGGAAAATAGTGGCAGTTCCTCAAAAAACTAAAAATAGAACTACCATTAGATCCAGCAAGTCCATTCCTAGCTATATAGCCAAAAGACTTAAAACAGGGACTCAGAGACTTGTACATCAATGTTCATTGCATCACTATTCACAATAGCTAAAAGGTGGAAACAACCTACATGCCCATCAATAGATGAATGGATAAATAAAATGTGGTACATACATACAATGGAGTACTACTCAGGCAGCACATGCTACAATATGGATGGAGATTGAAGACAATCTCCTGAGCAAAATAAACAGATAACAAAAGGACGAAGATTGCACGGCCTCACTTATATGAAAAGACATGAAAAGGCAAATGTATAGAGACCAAAGTTTATTAGCGGTTACTAGGGGTTGACTTGATGACAATGGGTTGGTTTTTTTTTTTTTTTTTACTCAATGGCAATTTTTTTTTTTATTTTTAATGGGTGGGAGGGAAGGAGAGAGGGGGCGTTAATGGTGATGGAAATATCACATTTATTAAGGGTAGGGCTGCACAGTCAATTATTGTTATTGCTGCCAATAAGTTGTACACCTGCAAAAAGTTGAATTGCCAAAAGCTGTGTGATAGATATAGTTACAACAACAACAACAAAAAGTAGCTGCTGAGGCTGCTTATGATTTGGTTCCTTTGTTTGGAGGTACAGGGTCATGGTTTCATGGGACATCCTAGTTAATTGGCCTAATAACATGTTTAATGCTTCTGTTCTACCTCCTAATTCATTGCATAGTGCTTAGGGTCTTCAAAGCTGGCAAGTGGCCATCAAAGGTACAACAATTGGTTTCTATTCACTTGAAGCATCAGATGAAGAAGGAGAGTCAGGAGTAGGAGGAGGATATGGAATTTGTGGTTAATTGCTTCCATGAACAACTGCCTCCTTTGCCATGAGACCAGAAGAACTCGATGGTGCCTGGCTACTATAGCTGAACATTTTGATCAAAGATTCCATAGAAGAATCCTGATCAAAAGGGGGAAAATGCAGAACAGAATTTCAAATTCTCATGGACTCTAGACTTTCTGGAGCTATGTATGGCGGATGAATCCCTGAAACTATTGCCCTGAGAGAATCTTTAAATTTTAAACCAAAAATATCCCCTGAAATCATCTTAAAACCAAATAATTTAGCTTAACTAGTAAAAAAGGTCTTCCTTGAGCATTATGCTCTCTTTTTTTAAAATTGTTCTTTAGGTGAACGTTTACAGAGCAAACTATTTTCTCATTAAACAATTAACACACATATTGTTGCCAACCCCACAACATGTCAACACTCTCCCCTTCTTGACCTTGGGTTCCCCATTTCCATTCATCCAGCTTTCCTATTCCCTCCTACCTTCTCGTCCTTGCCCCTGGGCTGGTGTGCCCATTTAGTTTCGTATACATGGTAGAAGTACGTGTATTACTGTTTGTTTTATAGGCCTGTCTAATCTTTGGCTGAAGGGTGAACCTCGGGAGTGACTTCATTACTGAGCTAAAAGGGTGTCCAGGGGCCATACTCTCGGGGTTTCTCCAGTCTCTGTCAGACCAGTAAGTCTGATCTTTTTTTTGTTAGAATTTTGTTGTACATTTTTCTCCAGCTCTGTCTGGGACCCTCTACTGTGATCCCTGACAGAGCAGTCAGTGGTGGTAGCCAGGCACCATCTAGTTGTGCTGGACTTAGTCTGGTGGAGGCTGTGGTAGTTGTGGTCCATTACTCCTTTGGACTAATCTTTCCCTCATGTCTTTGGTTTTCTTCATTCTCCCTTGCTGCAGTCAGGGTGGGACGAGTGGAGTATCTCAGATGGCCACTCACAAGCTTTTACGACTCCAGATGCTACTCACCAAAGTAAGATGTAGAATATTTTCTTTATAAACTATATTATGCCAGTTGAGCTAGATGTCCCCCAAGACTATGGTCCCCAGACCTCAGGCCAGTAATTCGGTCCCTCAGGGAGTCTGGATGTGTCTATGAAACTTCCATGACTTTTCCTTGGTCAAGTTGTGCAGACTTCCCCAGTGCATTATGCTCCTTTAAGAACTATCTATATGGGATCAAACTGACAATAGCAACTCAAAAGATTAGATAGGTGCCTTAGAGGGCAGTGAATTTATGTTAATGATGGAGGAATAACTCAGAAAAGAAGGATGAGAATGGCTATACAACTCGAAGAATGTAATCAGTGTCACTAAATTGTATATGTAGAAACTGTTGAAGTGGTGTATGTTTTGCTGTGTATATTCTCAACAACAACAAAATAAGATTTAGGGGAAAAAAGCAAATAAATATTTCAAATCTGAATTCCTTCAAAAGCAATTTATGTCCACATCCACGTGCCTATTTGTTCTGAAGAGGCTGTGGTGTTACTCTAACAATAGAATATACTGAAGATAATCACGGAAATTATATAACCATTTAAGCCATAAAGTAAATGCATTAGGAAAATACTGGGTCAAGATAAAAAAAAAAAAAACAATGAGTATACACTAGCCCACCAGTGAGCACAAGCCTCCTTATCAACCAAAGCAGAAGACTATAAAACAAACTGGGATCCAGCTTGCTCCCTACCATTTAGAACCATGCATTTAGGCCTAAGGCAGACTGAAGGAATGTATGACTTCTACCTATCTGGCCCATTACAAATAGACACCTCAGCATTAAGAGAGATGGTTTATAAATTACACAGTACCAGTCATTTTGGTGTGATATTCACAGGTATCCAGTTATCAAAAAAAGGTGAACCAACGTTATGTTTTCTAATTCAAAACTGGCCTTTCAAAAGTCTAAAAAATATGTGCTACATGTGCTTGGAATTAGTAGTTAAATACTTACCTGAACAGCCACCAAAAATCAAGTAAATTCTCTTCAATCTGGCTTGCCTTGCTAGCATTCAGTCCATTTATAATATTGAGAACGCCATGCAGGAAAGGCAGGAGAGTCTCAATACTATTTTAAGAAAGTTTAACAGCCCACCACTGTATTTGTTTTGGGAGCAGGGACGGGGGCACCAATACCTGTTTGTACTCACAACCCGGCTCAACTGTGCTGCGGGCTGGTTAGAGCTTATACCACGGAGGAGGGGCACCTTGGCAGCGCCAACCTGCTAAACTGTAAGCCTTTTCATAAAGCAGAGGAATTGGGGTTAACCACATTACAATCTTCCCATCTGAGGTAAAGGCCTGTTTGTTCCGGAAGGCAAAGCCCAGCCTCATTTAACTAACTCGGTGTAACTCAAGCAGTTAAAATAAGCGTTCACAAGGCAGCAAGAAAAGCTCTAATCTACAACCAAAAAGCCATCATGTTTATGAGGATTTCTCCAGAGTCCGATATCCTGAAAGATGCAGCTCAGGCGCCTCACCTGACGGTTAACCTGAAAACACCTGATCCTCCCTCTCTGGGTTCCTTGCCTGGGAAAAACGATAAGACTCCGGGCCATGACTTCGCTTTGAAAACTTTCCACCGCTCTCGGGGATTGGGAGCAGGAAAATCGTTCGCTGCACATCTATTTCAGTTTTGCCTGGGAGGTCTCCCCAGATGTTGAGGCCCTTCCAGGAGAGCTCCCCATCCTCTTAGCCCTCCCTCTCTTACCCTTACTGCAGCCGCCCGGTGCGCCCAGATCCGGGACCAAGAGCAGGCAGGGCCGGTAGCCCAGTGCTGCAGGCACTACTCCGACGGCGTGGCGGCCAGGCTGAAAGGCAGCTCTATGAGCGCCCGGCAGGGTAAGGCGCGTAGCCAGGCGTTCCCGCCCCGCCTCCGAGCCGCCACCTCCGTCCTGTCCTTCCCTCCAGGGCTGGGCCGGCCGGGGAACCGCAGCCTTGAGTTTCTTGTCTTGGTGCCCTGGGGGACTTTTTCCAAATGTCAGCGAGCCGGTCTCTCAGAACCCCGGGAGACGGGAGGAAGAGAAGTGGAGCCAGCAGGGCGGTGGGGGATGGAGCCCAGGTGAAGGGGGCGAGAAGACCCGGGAAAGACCGCAGCCAGGGGACTGGGCGGCGATGGGGCCATTTGGGGAGGGCGAGAAAGAGTGGAGGTCTCCGCCCGCGCCCAAGTGGACGAGGCCGAGCCCCTCCAGCAGGCCCAGGTGCGCGCGGAACGCTCCTGCCCAGCGCCGCTGTGGTACTGACCTGTGTCCGGGCCCCCGGGACAGGCCGGAGACGCAGTCCCACACCGGCAGGTCCAGAGCCTCCACTGCGCGCCGCATGGTGCGGCCCGGGGGCGTCGGGAGGAGACCGGGGGCGGGACGACTGCACCTGCCTTGGCCGTGGCCGCTGGCCCGCGGCTCCCGCGCTCGCGTCCCCGACGTCCAGCCCGGTGACCCAGCCCTCTCGGGCTCCTCGGTGTCCGCCAGAACGCACGTCCAGGAGGGAACGGGCCGGAGAGCGCCGGAGGGAGGCAGTCCGCGCACCTTTCACAGCGCCCTCCGGCGGTCGGGCCGCGTACTCCCTGACGTTCCTCACTTCTTCGTTGATTTCTCCCTTCTTTCCTTCATCCCTTTATGCGTTCATACATTGTTTTCTACATCCATTCTGCCGTCCACATCTTTAGTTATTTCTATGTTGATGCGTTCAGGAAACACTCACTGAGCGCCAGACAGATTGCTGGATTCTGTGGACACTGGGATAAGAAAGACACGAGTACTTCACAGAAAACTGTCGAACAAGTTTGTTCGTGTAGGCAAGTCTTTTACTCTGGTGTGCATGATCGCAGAATTCTGTCACAAGGGTCATGGTTCGCAGACAGAAGAAAAAGAAAAACTAATCTCCTTTTGCTCGCACCGGGAGGCTCGGGTGTCCGCGTGGCCCGGGGTGGGGACGCCGTGGATGGGGGGTGGGCGGGAGCGGTGAGGGCGCAGACAGGCCGGGCCCCAGAGGCGGGAATCTGTAAGCACACTCACCCCAGCTTCTACATCCAGCGCTCTGCCCTCGTGGGGCTATAACGGAAGATGTCTGCTGGAGGTGGTGGCTCGGAGGCGGGGCGGGAACGCCTGGCTACGCGCCGTACCCCGCGGGGCGCTCCTAGAGCGGCCTTTCAGCCTGGCCGCCACGCCGTCGGAGTAGTGCCTGCAGCACTGGGCGACCGGCGCTGCCTGCTCTTGGTCCCGGATCTGGGAGCACCGGGCGGCTGCAGTAAGAGTAAGAGAGGGAGGGCTAAGAGGATGGGGGAGCCCTCCTGGAAGGGCCTCAACATCTGGGGAGACCTCCCAGGCAAAACTGAAATAGATGTGCAGCGAACGATTTTCCTGCTCCCAATCCCCGAGAGCGGTGGAAAGTTTTCAAAGCGAAGGCATGGCCCGGAGTCTTATCGTTTTTCCCAGGCAAGGAACCCAGAGAGGGAGGATCAGGTGTTTTCAGGTTAACCGTCAGGTGAGGCGCCTGAGCTGCATCTTTCAGGATATCGGACTCTGGAGAAATCCTCATAAACATGATGGCTTTTTGGTTGTAGATTAGAGCTTGTTCGTGAGGGTCGCCCATGCCCAAATGCCACGTTCAACTGACAGTGGTGTTGACTTGGCAGTTTGGACACGGTTCACAGCCTCTTTCCCAGGAAGTCGTATCCCTGCTCTTTACCTGGTGAACAGCAGCAGAGAAAGTCCCGAGTTCCAGATTGTTTGGATCTGCAGGTCTCCGGTTTTAGCTAGGGCAAAGAATGTTCTGCCAGAGGATTATTTAACTATGCGTCTCTAGCTAGAAGCAGCTGGACAGAATGAGGTATATCAAAGCATACATAATTGACTCTTTTAAAAAACAACGTCCAATAGGCTATCAGGTAAAAATGCCTTATTTTAGAGCCCCTTTCGTTAGAGGAGGTCCTTGGGTGGCGCAGACAGTTTGGGTTGGACTTCCCACACAACCCCAACCCCCCCCCCCCCCAGAAAAAACATTGCCGTCCAGCCGATTCTGACTCATAACAACTCTATAGGCCAGGGTCCTATACTGCCCCACAGGGTTTCCAAGGAGCGGCTGGTGGATTCTAACTGCCGACATTTTGGTTAACAGCCGAATTCTTAACCACTGCGCCACCAGGACTAGTAACCAAAAACTTGGCGATTAGAATCTACCCAGAAGAAAGGCCTGGCAATTTATTTTGGTAAGATTAAAATCAGTTGCCATGTAGTCAGTTCCAACTCTACAGCCATTGAAAATCCTATGGAGTGCAGTTTTACTCTGACTCACACTTGTCCCCTTGAGTCAGAATCGACTTTACAGAAGTGCTCACTGTATACAGACAGACTTAGAAGAAAAGGAAAGGAAAAGTTACAGCGTTGTTCTTGTGGAGGATGTGGACTTGGGTGAAGAAACAGAATGTTGGAGGTATCTTGTAAGCAAAATATCATTTTGATGCTGAAGCACTTTTTAATCCTTTTAAATTCAAAGAAAAGCCACCATGAAGGGACAAACCTATTAGCTCCAAAATGCTAGTCCTTCACTAAGAGCAACAATCCCTTTAGAAGGAGATTGTAAATGAAGATAAGGTTCTTTGTGTCAGCAGACTTCTTCTTATAAGCATTTTCTAAAGCCAGGCCAGTTCTACTGAGTGGCTTCCCAGTGAGTGGTTAAAAAGATAATTCATAGCTAATACTGTGTTTGTTAAGAACATCTACTATGTGCAAAGAGTCCCTAGGTGGTGTGAATGGTTAAGCACTTAGTTCCTAACCAAAAGATCAGAGGTTGGTGCCCAGAGGTACCTTGGAAGAAAGGCCTGGATATCTACTTCAAAAAAATCTAGCCATTGAAAACCCTGTGGGACACATTTCTACTCTGACACACACGGGTCGCCATGAATTGGAGTTGACTCTACGGCAACTGGTTTTTTGTTTGTTTGTTTGTTCTGTGCGTGGGTCTGTGCTTTAAAGGGACCAGAAGTAACCCTGAGGCCTACTAGGCTCTCATGTAGGGTGATGTGCATATATTATAGCATTGCTCAGCACTCAGTACACTGTTATCTCCCTTTTGAAATGAAGAAATGGGTTCATAGATGTTTACGTTACTTCCCTGATAAGGCAGCAGTTCCGATATTTCTATTCAGGTCTTTAGTCTCCAAAACCTTTATTCTCACCACACTGATAGGAACACGACCAATAAACAGTTGCTGCCCTTGAGGGGCTTTCACAATCTAATGAAGAGATATGTGTACATAAATGGTTGTGATTGGAGACGTATATATCATCAACAGGTATAAAAGTATCATTTGAAAAAATAAGCAAATTCTTACAGAACACTGAAGAGGGAGAAATAGTTTCAAAAGGGAGAGCCAGGATTTCAAATTTAATGTGCACATGAATCACCAAGTCACCTTACTGAAGCCAACTATGGTGGCACGACAGTTAAGCCCTCTTTTGCTAACTGAAAGGTTGGTGGTTTGAACCTACCAGCAGCTCCAAGGGAGAAAAAACCCGGAGATCTGCTCCATAAAGGTTACCTGTTGCCATCAAGTCTATTCCGACTCATAGTGAGTCTATAGGACAGAGTAGAACTGCTCCACAGGGCTTCCAATGCTGTAATCTTTATGGAATCAGACTGTCACATCTTTCTCCCACAGAGTGGCTGGCACTGCACCACCAGGGCTCCTTCAATAAAGATTACAGCCTAGGAAACCAATGGGGCAATTCCACTCTGTCATATAGGGTTACTATGAGTCAGAATTGACTTGACTGCACACAGTAACAGAATAGAACCTGAGATTCTGCATCTAACAGCAGATCCTGCTGCCATTGTTCCTCCTGATCCATGTACTACTCTTTAAGCAGCAAGAGTCTAAAAAATACTTAATCTGAGGGATGAGGAAGAGGGGAGGAAATAATGGAAAAGGATTGGAATCAGACGGCCGAGGGCTTTGAATATTACACATATTAAGACACATGAATTATAGTTTCTAGGCACCTAATCTAACCATTCTAAATCAGTAAATTGAGTTTAATCACTAATAAAAACAAAACAAAACTCAAACCCGTTGCCATTGAGTCGATTCCGACTCACAGTGACGGTCATAATTATGTTGTGCTGCTATAACAGAAATACCACAAGTGGATAGCTTCAACAAACAGAAGTTTATTCTCTCACAGTCTAGTAGGCTAGAAGTCCAAATTCAGGGTGCCAGCTCCAGGGAAAGGCTTTTTCTCTCTGTCAGCTCTGGAGGAAGGTCCTTGTCATCAATCTTCCCCTGGACTAGGAGCTTCTCAGTGCAGGGACCCTGGGTCCAAAGGACATGCTCTTCTCCTGGCACTAATTTCTTGGTGGTATGAGGTCCCCCTGTCTCTCTGCTCACTTCTGTCTTTTATATCTCAAAAGAGATTGACTTAAGACACCACCTTATCTTGTAGATTGAGTCCTGCCTCATTAACACAACTGCCTCTGATCTCGCCTCATTAACATCATAGAGGTAAGATTTGTAACACATAGGAAAATCACATCAGATGACAAAAATGGTGGACAATCACACAATACTGGGAATCATGGCCTAGCCAAGTTGACACATATTTTTGGGGGACACAATTCAATCCATAACAGAGACCCTGTATAGGACAGAGTAGAACTGCCCCACAGGGTTTCCAAGGAGCAGCTGGTGGGTTCAAACTGCCAGACTTTTGGTTAGCAGCCGTCGCTCTTAACCACTGCACCACCACGGCTCATAATAGGCATTGATTTTTTCAACTTTCAGAAGTCACCTTGTTTAGCAAAGATCCTAGCACAGTCATGGGTGGTAACGGTCATTGCTTTGTATCCTGCTTCATTGCTTTCAAATGCCTGTGTTATGGACTGTAATATAGTTCAAAAAGGTATGTGCCCTGACTTAAATTTGTAATGACCAATAACCAAATAACACAAGAATCTTTTGCTTAATAGTATGGAGCCCTGGTTGTGCAATGGTTAAGAGCTACAGGGAGCTACAGCTGCTAACCAAAAGGGTGGCAGTTCGAATCTACCAGCCACTCCTTGGAAACCCCATGGGGCAGTCTTGTCCTATAGGGTCACTGTGAGTCAGAACTCAATGGCAACAGGTACTGCAGTATGGCATTTTAAATTTACAAACCCAAAAACCTGTTGCCATTGAGTCAATTCTGACTCGCGGCAAACCCAGGTGTTTCAGAGTAGAACTGCCCTCCGTGGGGTTTTCAATGGCTGTAATCTTACAAAAATACGTAGATCACCAGGACTTTCTTCTGTGGTGTAGCTGGGTGAGTTCAACCACCAACCTTCCAGTTAGTAGCCGTGAGCAAACCCTTTGTGCCACCCAGAGGTCTTGCATTTTAATAGCAAATTGCCTTCATATTAGTTTCCCTAATTAACAATGTTAAAGGGCAGTTTTTAAAAAGCAGTCAAGAAAATATGAGACAAGCTGATAATAAAAATGCAAC